TTTCCAAAGAGCCCCAACATACCAGACCGCCGGGTCCCCCCCCCCCCCCAATACCCATGGGTGGCGTGGGGGAGAAAGGGATGGTGTGAAGGTGAACGCGGGTACGGGGGACACGCGTCGGGGTGAGGCTGGTTGGATTCCTGGGCCTGTTTCCCAGAACCTGCCTGGCTTAGCCACCGCTCTGGCTTAACTCTGGGCCCCGGCGGCGGATTGCTTCCCCTTTGCTAACCTTCCCCTCCTCGAACGCCACGCGTTTTCCTCCCCATCCCAAAGAGGGGGGGGCGGGGGGGAGAAAGCGGCACGGGAGGAATCCAACATGAGCAGGCTGATGGCTGCCGTCCCAGTGCAGGCTCAGCAAATGGGGCTCGTGATGGATGAATGTGCAGGGCAAGAAGTAATAAAATGGGCCCCAGTCATGTAATCTTCCATTAAAATGAAATGCATACCAGAAATGAGGCATTTCTGCAGCTTGTACCATCTCCCACGGAAGATCATGAATAAAAGAGGCAAGTGTACTGTTGACAGATGCCGGCATGCATAAAGGACAGTTCCTATAAAGGCAAAGCCCCGGCTAACAGATGGACTAAAGATGTGAGATGCAGGAAGATTTACCAGTCTAAATAATTCAAGGGAATGTCGTATGGGGAGGCAGTGCTGGAGAGGGGAGCCGGCAGAAGGTACAGATGGAAAGGCAGGCCAGGCCTTTCCCACAAACCCATTAAGAACGTCGCTTGTCTGAGTGACAGTATGTCGCACAAGGCACCGGCAGAGATGGGTGGATTTGCCTCTAGCACTCCTTCTGCAAGGTCAGGAGAAGTGGTAATCGCAAAGGTTGCAACTTTCCGAGGGCACGCTTTGCCTCCTGCAAGGCTGCTTTCTCCAGCCTTCCTCCTTCCCCCCCCTCTTCCTCACTGTCCCTTCACCTGCTGCTGGGGAAAACAGGAGCCCAGAGGTCATGCTGAAGCCACGAGTGGAGGTGGCAAAAGCATTCAGTGCTCCTATTGCTCTCGTCAGCCCTGCTGAGTTCTCCAGTGGTGCTTTGGACTTTGAAGGTGCCTGAGTGATGGGTGACCTGGCTGTCTGCAGGAGGATCAGCAGGGTCAAATGCAAGGGGAGGCTCGGCACAACCTTGAAAAGTGGGTGCATTTGTGCAGGCAAAGGGTGCCGTGTGGGAGGGAAAGGGCTGCAGCAAGAGGAGCAGCTGGCGTGGCAAGCAGAAGGGATGCTGGAGTTGTCTTTGCAAGGGTATCAGCACCCCAAAGATGTGGCCAGGAGCTGCAGCATGGTACGCAACCCATTCAGACCTTAATGCCTGAACACAGTCCCTCTTGGACCAAACTGCTGGTGTGCACGGGGCAGCTTGGAGCTGTGGGAATGCTGCATATCCAGGTCTTACAACAGGGAAGTGCGAACATGGGTCTCCCCGGCGTGACCCTACCTGCCTGTGAGTGCAGAAAGTTAAGGGGTTGCTGTTTCACAGGGTGAAAGGGGCTGCCTCAGCTGTCCCCTCCTGGGGGCTTAGGTCCTCCATGCAGGCATCAGTTGGTGGCTTCAAACACTGGTGGGGCACTTGGTGGTCCAGCAGAGCTTGGTGAGGGGATGTGGCTGCTGCATGCAAATAGAGATGTTACCCTACCCTGATACCAGGGTGGAAAAATGGTATGAATCTCCCTGGCCATCAAGAAGAAGGCTGAGAGGGGCTGGCTGAGGGTCTTGGCAGTGCAGGATGCAGGGGATGAGCTGATGTAGGAAGGTGGCACAGGGGACAGGGCATCACGGCAGCTGAGCAGAAGGCTGCTCATCATCTCTGGGGGTGCCCAGGCCCCCTCTCTCCCTGTCCTCGGGGGAGCCTGGGGCTGGCTTGGTGAACGTGAGACATTTTGGGAGAAGAGGGAAGATAAAGGGCAAGATGCAGAGGGTTAGATAGAAGTCAGCGGCAGCTGCTTGGCAGAGATTGTGCGCGCTCTCCGCTTGGAGAGGACGCCTTCCCTGGGCTCGTCAGCCGTCTGCAGCACGGCGATTAATCATTGGTGTCAGAATCCCTAATCCTATTCAATGGAAAACAAACAGCGCGGCATCCAGCCCTGTGCTGAGCCCAGGCAATTAGCATGTTTACATGGACTGGGGAAGCTCAACAAAGAGTGGCCAACGGGGGCCACGGGAAATGAACCCTTGTCAGCCCCTGATGTTCGAAGTGCCCTGGGATCCCTGGGCTCTGACCCAGGCCCAGGCTTGAAATGTGGCTTGAAGCAGTTGAACGCAGCTACTTGCTACCAAAAAAAATGATTTTTCTTGATTAGGGCTCAAGGGTGTGCTAGTGTGGGCAGCCGCTGGAGTGGGGGGCTGTGTCTGATAGGGATGGTCAGCTGGCAAAACAGGAGTCTGAAGGGGATAATGTGTTTACTCGTGGTTTGGCTTTGTGTCAGTTGCAAAAGTAGCAGCCGAAGCCTTTGTAATTCCAGCAAACTCAACCCTCCCACCAGTCCCTTGTCCCCGTTCCTCCTGCCCCTCTCTGGCCTGCGCCGCTGGAGCTACATCTCTGTGGCTGAAATTAGTTCGATGTCCTGTGCTTTGGGTGAGTGCTGAACTCTGCTGGCCTCAGCCCGCTGAAGGGCAGGGCTGGGGACGTGTAGGACCAGTGTCCCTGCTGTGTAAGGGCTGTCCTTGGGAGGCTCAGGCCCCTCGCATAGACTTCAAGGAGGTTTGAGAGATGGGCTACAAGGAGGGATGCAGGACTAAACAGATACACATGTCCCCGGTGTGTGTCCCCAGTGGCTTGCAGCAGCTACCTTAGGTGAAATTGTCTCCCCAAACCAAGAGCAACCCCATGCTTCTTCAAAGGTGGTGGTGATGATCTGCTAAGGAAGAGGCTCTCTGAGTGTGGCTGTGATTTCTGCTCGTAACACACGTACCAGCTCTACACCAGCCAGCCTGCAGCAGGACTTCAAACTGCCCATGTCCTCTATTTTTAGCATTGCACAGTGCACGATTTCTTTGGGACAACCTGCACCCACTCTGTCTCCCATCACAGGATCATTCCCCGGGCTGGGTGAGCTGCATTTGGGGTGAAGTCTGCCCACTATAGGAGAAGATCAGGTTCAAGACCATCAAAGAAACCTGAAGGTACATAAATCCATGGGACG